GTATTTGTGTTTCTCTGACTGGCTTATTTTGCTTAGCATTATGCTCTCTAGCTCCATCCATGTCATTGCAAATGGCAAGATTTCATTCTTTTTTATGGCTGAATAATATTTCATTATATATATACATATATGTGTGCACACACACACATATGTATCACAGATTATTTATCCATTCATTTATTGTGTTAGTTTTTTAAATTTGAGTATAGTTGACATGCAATGTTACATTAGTTTCAGGTGTATGATCCCTGAAGTTTTAGCACAGGAATATTTTAGCTACCTAACCTTTGTTGTTTTGCAAGAGATTTTAAGAAGTCCAATTTTGTAACTTTAAATTAACCTCTTTTTATGTAGTAAGTCTCTTGAATTATGTTTGGAAAAAAATATAGACTTTGAGTAGACTAAGCACATTTAAACTCTCAGTAGCATATTCATTTATTTGATTTCCATTTGTAGCTATTATTATGAGAGAAGAATCACTAGCATCAACTTCAATTTATATGTTTATAGATTCTATTGGTTGTTAACGTATATGAAGAATGAATAAGCATGGCTTTCAGACATTAGCTATATTTTTCTTGGAATGGAAAAAATGATAAAAAGATATGGGAAAGTGTCATTTTACTTGTACAAGGCAAGTTTAAAGGATCTTTTTATTTCTTAAAAATGACAACCTGAACTAGATAGAGAGTAATCCCCGAGGAGCCATTGGGCAGGTCAGCAATGAATAAATTCTCAACTTTGGATCTCAATTCCCTAACTTGATATATTAATTCTACCTTCTACCAGTGAGTCCGTTTTGTCATTCTATAAGACTGTTACATTGGAAATATGGAATCAGAAAATGCTCAAGGTGAAGAGTTCTTAAAGATAATTTATCCAACTTGACCCATACGGCATGAAGGTCTATATGGATCTGTGTGTTCGAGTTCAGAGCTAGAAACTGACATTGAGCTGAATTAAACTGCATAGTAAAAAGTTGTGAAATTTGAAGTATATTCCACAGGCCCATTGTACCATGAGGAAAGGCAGAAAAAGGGATCCTTCTGTCATGGGAGCTTTGGAGAGAGATACTTAAGAGATGGAACAAACCAAAGATGGTTATCTAGTGTGGTTTTTATAATGTAAGTGTTCTTCCTTCCTTCCATTGTCTTCTGTGATATCTCCAGCAAATTCTACATTTCTCATTAATGCAAGAGGGTATTTTGGGGAACACTGGCTTATGGAGGAAGATAAGGGGACAACTGATATTTGGATTACATTACAATTTTTTAATTTGCGTTAGAAACATCTGTGAAAGTCTATACATCTTGGACAATTTATTATCTTGTTTTTTAATGGGAAATGTACCTTCACAAGTGAATAAGAAATTAAACTGCTTAAGTGTTTCAACTGGTTAGTTTGATGCTTCATGGTCTTTCACTGGTCTCCTTTCTGTATTCCTTACATAGCAGTCCAGGTCCTTCATGATAGCAAGGATCTACATGTGTCCATAGGATAGTAGGAAGAAAGCTAAGGAAAGATTTTCCTGTCACTAATTATCTTTCCAAATGGATCCAAATTTCTTGTATTTTGGAGTGACTTTGGGTTAAGCAGTTGTTTCTAGAAAGTCTCTGTTAAAATACTGAGACTGTTATTAGACTTTTTTTTTTCACATTTTTATGCATGTTCCATTTTATTTCCAGGAGAAGGTAATTGAGAAGTAGTAATCTATTTTAGAGGGAGATAGCATTAAGGACTGGACTAAGAAGATGGCCAGCTAGAGGGAAACCTGGTTTGAATGACTTGCTGAGAACCTTCTGGGATCCAGAAGGTAGTAGAAAGGCATAGGTTTAAGGTGACAAGGAAGTGAGGAACTAGTCCAAGGAGATGTTTCATATGCTTGAAAACTGTGCCTTTTCTATCCTGTCAAAAAACAAAACAAAACAAAACACAGGACAAAAGGGATTAAGACTCAGATTTAATTTCCAGTTATATTTCAATTGAGCTATTTTTTTCTCTTCTAAATGATCAGTATATTATTATTTTTTCCATATGAAGTAATTTTCTTAACCACTCACTCTTTTTAAACTTCTCCCACAAAAATGGAAAAATGTTTAAAAGTCATTGGAGCTAGTTTCCTATTTACTTAGAAACTAGATTCTGTAGGCCATATTTATAACTCCTGGTTTAAACATTTACATTTACTTGCATGCCAGAGTCCTTTGATGACTAACTTTGATGACATAAGAGTTTAAAAGCTTGGAGAACAGAAGATTTAGAAATAATTAACAATTTTGTGGCTTTATTTCTTTATGTACGTGCAGAACTAATAGAAGATAAATATAGGAACTCTTACTTTGGGAATCCACAAAATGTAAATGTTCAAGGTTTCTTATTAATTAAGATGGATTTTAAGTATGCAGATAATGTTATGAATTAAATGTTTTAATTTCTTAACCATCTATTAATCTCTAATAAGGATACATCCATGGAAACTCCTTATTGACACTGTAAGGGAAAATTCTTTCAAGTGTTTTCAATTTTATATTTGAGATTCTGAGATTGAAAACTATGGGATCTTCATTAAATATAGGAAGATCAATTCTAAGTTTCTAGAACAATGATGAATTTGATTTTTTTGGTGTTCTATATTTAGCATTGTATTACAGTATAGTATTGCTGTACAAAGTAGATGGAGAGACTAATATTATTTTCATTTGTTAAATGAAAGAACATGCACAAAGTATATGTGTGCATGACAAAGGCCTGGTTTTGTGAATAAGCAATACAATTACGTTCAGTGGTAAGGACAGCATGTTTGATCAGGCCTTCCCCAAGGATTTATATAAAGAAAAAGCTAGGGTTGGATACTGACTTCAAATAAAAGATGCCTACTCTTTCTCAGAAGCCAAAAAAATTAAATATAATTTACCAAAAAAATTTTTTTTCTATTTACAAAGTTAGAAAGCTAGGATAGGATCCTTTTTTTCTTTTCTAATATAGGTTTTCAGACTTAAATAAAATAGTTTTCTCCAATGGGAATAATTCTGCAGGCAGACATTCTTTTATTTCTGTTCATCTGTGGCATAAAAGATAAGTCGGACTCCATTATTAGGACTCCTTGTGCTGCTTAGGAAAAGGCCATCTATCTTCATCTATCTATCTATCTATCTATCTATCTATCTATCTATCTATCTATCTATCATCATCTATCACCTATCTATCTACCATCTATTACCTATTATCTCCTATCTTCTATGTATCTACAGTCTCTTCTGTGTTTATTTAATTAGCACCCATACCTGAAAATGACATAAAATAAAATATGATCATAGAAAGTATATTTCTTCCATCATGTGACTGAAAAAAAGTAATGCTTCTCTTCAGTATTTGTTAGTCTCTGTGCCTCTGTGCCATAGGGCACTTGGCTGACAGTTTTGACTGACTCAGTTGTTTAATTAAGTGAAATGACTGGCTTGAAACTAATTATTGTTTTGTAGTATCAGAGAAAGTCAATTTTCCTACTGGTTGAAATGTGTGGTTCTTTGTCTTTAAAGCAAAAAGGCAGAGATAGAGTAGCCCTTCATAGGTAGAGATCAGAATCTTGGGTGGGGAGAATAAGGGAAGCAGTTTGAAAAAATGTTTTTGATAATCATCTTTGCTTCACTTTGTTTTCAGACACAATGTTAAATTTATTTTGAAATAAAAAAGTAACATTAAAGAAGAACATGTGACGTTTTCATTAAAAAGGAGAAAGGAAAAAAGTGTGAAGGAGGGATGGAAAGAATATGGTAACTAGTGAAGGTTTAAGATTCTTACAACCTCTAGAGGTGTAATCAAGGCTCAACCTACATTTTTTTTAAGTAAGCTCCATGCCCAGTGTGGAGCCCAACATGGTGCTTGAACTCACGACCCTGAGATAAAAATCCAAGCTGAGATCAAGGGTCAGACACTTAACTGATTGAGCCACCAGGACGCTCCTATCCTATATATATTTTTATGGCAAAGATTGTCATTACTGTCATTGCGTCCATTTTCTTTTTTTTTTTTTTAAGATTTTATTTTATTTATTTATTCATGAGAGACAGAGAGAGAGAGAGGCAGAGGGAGAAGCAGACTCCCCGCTGAGTAGGGAGCCTGATGCGGGACTCAATCCCAGGACCCTGGGATCATGACCTGAGCCGAAGGCAGATGCTTAACCATCTGAGCCACCCAGGTGCCCCCATTTTCTTCCCCATGTCTCCTTAACTGAAAATTCCACAAGATATGCCTATATTACATCTAAGTATCCTACCAGAGGACCTGAATCACATGTGGGCCAGAGCTGGGATGGGAGTGTAGAACTTCTGAACATCCATTTTCGTTGTTATTGTTCCTGTGGCTTTTTCTTAGTTTGCATTTGAGGCAACGTCAGCTTTTTTTAGACAGAACAATTTTAGGAGAGTGAAAAAGACATGGGAGCCTTCGTGTGTGTGTGTGTGTGTGTGTGTGTGTGTGAATTTTTCATTACTTATTGACAAAAGCATACCTGGAGTTAATAATAGATACAGTTCAAACCTTAGCTCTTTTAGTAAGTCTTATTTTCAAGCCAAATCATTGGTTTGGTTAGAATTTTGCAAATATTAAAAACTAAAATGGTCAAATGGTAAATCACAGATAAAGAACATGGTAATGAATAATAGGGACAAATTGTTTAAACTCTTATGTAAAATTTGATAAGGTGTTTTACATAACTAATGAATTGACAAGGTCTTGTGGAGAAAACAGGTCCAGATGGCAAACATACGCAACGGATTTAGTCAAACAATTTTTTTGGCAAGAATAATATGAATTTTGTAATCAGTCGGGGGCCAATGAAATACAAAGATGAGTCTGGTTAATAATCTACAATTATTGGTTAAAGAAGTATATTAGTGCAAATTTCCCTCTGTTCGTCCTACCTGTTCTCTTGTATCAACCCCACAAGCCTTTGGCACAATGAAGTGGGTAACTTTTATTTCCCTACTCTTTCTCTTTAGCTCTGCTTATTCCAGGGGCGTGATTCGTCGAGAAGCACGTAAGAATTCTATTTTCCTATTGTTCAGCTTTTACTTTATTTTCCTAGTGAGAGAAAATTTTAGAAAACCCTGCATCTTTAAAGAAGTGTTTTCTTTTAGCATTTATTTCTAGGTGGTGATGATATTTTGTATTTGTGATCCCTCAGGAAGTTATTTTTTTTTTTTAAAAAAAGATTTTATTTATTTATTTGAGAGAGAGAGAGAGAGCAGAGAGAGAGCACCAGTGGGGGATAGGCAGAGGGAGAGGGAGAAACAGACTCCCCGCTGAGTAGCCCAGGACCCTGAGATCATGACCTGAGCTGGTGGCAGAGGCTTAACCAACTGAGCCACCCAGGTGCCCAGGAAGTTATCTTATTAATACATTTCTAACATCCTAGGTGAAAAAAAATGGTGAGAATTGATTTAGTAGCTGTAACTTCCTTCTGCACCTGAAAGAACTTAGACAGAGAGACTTAAACTTCACAGAATATAGTTGACGTTAGAATTCATAGCTCCACATTCCCAAAGGCTATTGCACCTTGATTTATAAAAAACAAAAACCTGTACTGTTCATCTTATAAACAGAACTTGTATTTATATTTTTCATTTCAGACTGTCCTCCCAGAAGCTGTTAGTAGACACCACAAGAGCATTAGATCTTATCCAAATCTGAATATAAAACTAAAAGTATTTAACGATTTTAATGATTTTTCAAATAGTATCATCAGTGATTGAATAACTCATCTGTTTAAATGCAGAACAAATAGTTCATCATCATCTCAAGATATTCTGTAGGGATCTGAGGTCAATATTTTAGAGCAAATGAATACCTAAGTCACATGGAGAGAAACACAAAAAGTAACACCATAACTAAGTTGTTTTCTTCAGAATGTAAACAAATCTGTTTTGTTTTTTCTTTTTTCCTCTCCAGAACAGAGTGAGGTTGCTCATCGGTACAATGATTTGGGAGAAGAACATTTCAGAGGCCTGTAAGTTAAAATACTGAACAGTCAAATTTAATGTTTCTAATAGTGTTGGTTATTACTCTGAAGTTCTTATATTCCCTTGTCATCAGAGTCCAGCTTCTAGGACCATCCTATCCAATAGAATTTTCTGCATTGATGGAAATATTCTATATCAGTGCTGTTCGGTAAGGTGGCCACTGGCCACATGTGGCTAGTGAATACTTTAAATGTGGCAAGTGCAACTGAGGGTCAGAAATTAAAGTTGCATTTAATTTTGATTTATTTAAATCTATGCAGCCACGTGTGGCTACTGGCTACCGTATTGGACAGTGTAGCTCCAGAACGCTTCCATAACCTGATGGTAAGAAAGACTTTAATATATGGTTCCTTTTGCAGCTCACTTACTAAATTCCTTTACCTAGTAAATAGGTCTGTGGTTTCTTGAGAGCATTTTAATATTTTTTATTAACACACGCGCACACATGTGTTTAAACATGGTATAAATACATGTCCTCTTTGCTCAGGAAGCCACATATGCCTGTTTAGGCTTCAGATAACAGCTGATCTGAATAGACTTTCTGGCTAATAGTGAGGTGTATAAAATATAGAACATATACAGACAGTTTGTTGTCCAGCGTAGCAAGCTACTTTATATTAACATTTCACCATGTTACATTTTTCTTTTTTAAAAAAGATTTTATTTATTTATTTGAGAGAGAGAACACAAGTGGAAGGGAGGGGTAGAGGGAGAGGGAGAAGCGGGCTTCCTGCTGAGGAAGGAGCCCAATGTGGGGCTCGATCCCAGGACTCTGAGATCATGACCTGAGCTGAAGGCAGAAGCTTAACCGACTGAGCCAACCAGGTGCCCCCTGTTACATTTTTCTGTCCTTTGTTTCAGAGTGCTGGTTGCCTTTTCTCAGTATCTCCAGCAGTGCCCATTTGAAGATCATGTGAAATTAGCGAAGGAAGTGACTGAGTTTGCAAAAGGTTGTGCTGCTGACCAGTCAGGGGCCGACTGTGGCAAATCCCTTGTAAGTACATTCTGATTTTGAGTGTTATTTCTTCTTTTTGTAAGTAGTCCTGATTATTTCAAAGGAAGAGCAATCCCACTTTTGTTTCCTCAATTATTAATTTGTAAGCAACTCTCAAAAGTGAGGGTAGCCATTATTTCTTCTATGACAGAGATGTTCTAGCTATACCCACAGTTTTAAAGACATTTCTTTATGAAGACCACACACAACAGTAACAGTGCCTTTATTTTTTTTATTTTTATTTTTATTTTTTTAAAGATTTTATTTATTTATTTATTTATTTGACAGAGACAGAGACAGCGAGAGCAGGAACACAAGAAGGGGGAGTGGGAGAGGGAGAAGCAGGCTTCCCGCTGAGCCAGGAGCCCGATGTGGGACTCGATCCCAGGACCCTGGGATCATGACCTGAGCCGAAGGCAGTCACTTAACCAACTGAGCCACCCAGGCGCCCAGTAACAGTGCCTTTAAATGGAAATTTGTGATTTGTAAAAGTCTCTTTTTAGAATTTGAAGTTTGATTTCTTTTCATTGAGGCTAACAGTGAGAGCGTGGTTTTTATCTTCCGGAGACACTCATCTGATTTCTGTGTTGATTTTGTTTCTTAGGTAAAATAATAGTACAGTTACATAGTCCTCATTTTAGGGATAGTTATATTTTTACATAGAATAAAAAATCAGGGCATTTATTCACTTTGAAGGACTTTGAAATTTTGGTATTTCCAGTAGGTGTTCAATTCAGGGAGAGGTTTATGTTTCTCTCACCACTCAGACCTGTATATACCTTTCCAGGGCAAGGCCAGGGTTTATGTATCACTGAAATCTTTCCCCCTCTTATTTCTTTCTCTCTATGTATCTCTCCCTCAAGGTAGAATCAGTACTTTAACTTGGTATTTTTAACACAGAGTTAGCGCTGTAAATATGAATTTTAAAAAATATTTTTTGGGGGAAAATTAATAAATTCCATCATCAGCAGTATATTTTCCTGAAGATCCAATTACTTTCATAATAAAAATTAATGGGGACAGGAAGAATACATTTAATGGAACGTGTTTTGAGGCAAATGTTTCTAGACTAAAAAAGATCTATATTTTAACATAATAAATAATATACAGTAAATTGTGTTACTCAGTTTTTGAATGGTACCTCCTTAAAAGTTGGACCTTTCGGAAAGAAGCAGATCAAATGAGAAACTATCTGAATACTTTCTTCCCTAATGTGAATTCACCTGCAACTTAGAGGATTATTTTCCCTTGATTTTTTTTTAAAGATTTTATTTATTTCTTTGACTGATGGAGACACAGCGAGAGAGGGAACACAAGCAGGGGGAGTGGGAGAGGGAGAAGCAGGCTTCCCACTGAGCAGGGAGCCCGATGCGGGGCTCGATCCCAGGACCCTGGGACCATGACCCGAGCCGAAGGCAGACGCTTAAGGACTGAGCCACCCAGGCGCTCCGATTTTTTTTTTTTTTTTTTTTTTTTTTATCAGCTCTCCTAGCCTGTAGCGTGAGGTAGAAGTAGGAGCCGTGTTCATGGCTTCGCGCTGCCGTTCTGTTGTACCCACCCTAAGGAACCGGGTGACGGTCAGTTCTTAGGAAAATCCCATGGATGGTCAAATCAAGGGAAACTCTAAACCTGAGAAAAAAGAGTACGTGTACATGAGTTCCCAGCCAAGGCTTACGGATGCTTTCAATTTTTTATACTGTTCTTTGGGTACAAAGGAAATAAAATACCCCCCGGTGACCCGAAGCCTGCTCTCTCCCACCTAGCACACGCTCTTCGGAGACAAACTGTGTACAGTCGCCTCTCTTCGCGAAAAGTATGGCGAGCTGGCCGACTGCTGTGAGAAACAGGATCCCGAGAGAAACGAGTGCTTCCTGACTCACAAAGACGATAACCCCGGCTTCCCTCCGCTGGTGACCCCGGAGCCCGACGCCATGTGCGCCGCCTTTCAGGAAAGTGAACAGAAGTTTCTGGGAAAGTGAGTCCTCAGATCTTTACGCTTCAGAATGAAAAATTACGACCAAGGTCGAGACTTATTATAGGCAGTACTACAGTAAAAAATATTCTGTAACATAAGAATAAAAAAAAAAAAAGAAAAGAAAAGAAAAAAAATATTCTGGATATTAAGGCTTAGAAGCGTTTGTTCTAATGACAGTTTTCAAAGCAGTAATATTTGATGCCACAAAATTCTCCATGGTGAAAAGAATTGGATCCAAGATCTTTTGGAGTTCGTTGAAACAGGATGTGATCTGTGTAAGAAAAACAGAGATTGGCCTGTGTTAAAATATTATGAAGATAGGTATTTATTCTCAGAATTGATTTCATTTTAGTCAAAAACATTGCATTACCAAAGTTTATTTTGTATCTATGTGTGTGTATATGTGTGTACATATATATAAAACATATATATGCATGTACACAATTTATATATAGAAGTTCAACCTTTCACTGACTTCTAGAATGACAAAGGCAAGGTCATCATGTGCAAATTGAGAGTAACTGGTAAATTAGATGAGAAGGGTGATTACAATGGTTCCCATACCACTGTTCGCTATAGAAAAGTGACTGCCTGTTTTTCTTTTTTGAAAATGTAGATACCTGTATGAAGTTGCCAGAAGACATCCTTACTTTTATGCCCCAGAACTCCTTTACTATGCTCAGCAATATAAACAAGTTTTTGCAGAATGCTGCCAAGCTGCTGATAAGGCTGCCTGCCTGACACCCAAGGTATTCCCCAGAAGAATAGGAGGAGCAATTCATCATCAAACCTCAGACTTTGAGCATCTTATGGCTAGATTTAGGGAATTTGTGTCTCTGATACAAAGTCCTTTACATGGTCAAAAAAAACCTTCCTACCTCTTCTAGGGAGTTTAATGATGTTGGGAGAGTTGGTGGAGGAGGGGTGGAGATAAATTATATGCAAAATTAAGAAGTCAGCAAAGTTATATTTTCTGGGATGTTAGTGGACTCTGTTCTTCCACATTTCCTGTCAGCTCCCTTTTCCTTGGCAATGTCTCCACTCCGGTTCTTAACTACCTAGGGGCTTCCCCTAGGACCAGGCTGATTTTGCTCCCCCTGCATTGCAAAATAATTATTTGCCAATAGTGGGCACTTGGGAATTTAGGTGTAAATTATCTCTTTAAATTTTAATTTGGCACAGTCTCATCTGAACTAATGAAGGGGTGTTTTGTATAGAATTTTCCTTTTCTAATTTTTCCAAAATAATTTCTTTTTGCAGATTGATGCTTTGAGGGAAAAAGTACTGGTTTCATCTGCCAAAGAAAGATTCAAGTGTGCCAGCCTCCAGAAATTCGGAGATAGAGCCTTCAAAGCATGGTATTTTAAACTTAGTTTGAATCTTTATAATGATGTAAATGGTTATGGTTCAGTTGACAAAAATGTACATTTATATGGCATTTTATGTGGTGCTTTTGCATACATCTTTCTGGTTGTTTTGAAGGTAGAAATTTAACAGTGGTGAAAATCAGAGCATCAGTGACAATTCCTCATTATTTTTTATCATATTTCTTCTAGGTAGTCACAGAATTTATAGGGTATTTTTTTTTTGTCATTCTAGGATGGGGATTTAAACTCCCACTTATTTAGAAAGACTAGGGACTTATTCTAATGATCCACTCTTTTTATAGAGCAGTCGTCAGGGTCTTCTTAATTTTATCCCCCCAAACAACACCAATTATCTGGAAATGTTTGTTCTTTTATGTTCTGATAATTAAATTTAGCCATCAGGGTTAGTTCTCCTTTTCTCATAGCTCTAGCTCTGTAGTTAATCCCTTGGTTTTGTCTGGGTCTCTGTTTTTATATTACTTAGCTGGTTCTAGGAGCATCCTTCAATTTCTAAGCCAAGAAAAATCCCCTCCCCCACCACTCACTTGCTAGTCAACAATGAATCCACAGCAACAGGAGATAAAATGAAAATAATAGACATCCTGTAAACTCTCTAGAAACCATAGTTTGAGCTATCTTTGCCTGCCATCCCTACCCCCTACACAACCACCAAGATCAACTACCTAAATCAGTAAACAAAACAACCCCAACATGAAATGATATGCGATTAAACAGGCTGTGATTGGTTTGGAGGAAGAAGCAGCTTTGATCCGATTAAGAGACGCTGACATGATTTGGGAAAGCATGTGGATTTTAGCCTTTTCCATGTTGTCAGAAGGCTTAGATGCTGTGCTGGATCAATGTCTTGGTTCCAGTTTATAAAAGGCTTTCATATGGATTAACTAATTTAATCCTCACATCAGTCCTGCAGTTTAGCATGCTGTTGTGACCAAGTAGAGGCTGAGGGTCAGAAAGGCTATGTAACTTGACTAGTGTCCCAATGCTAATGAGTGATAAAACCAGATCTAGAAGCCAGGTCTGGGTTCTAAACCTGATGGCTCTCCACATGTTGCCTCTTTTTGAATCTCTCTTTGATTTCCACTTTTATGAATCGCTGGCCTTCTATCCACCACACACACTCTTATAATGGCTAATTTGCCCTAAGGAAACATTTTGCCCTCAGATAACCATGTGGTTCAGAACTAGCAGTAAAGTAAGGACAAATGGATTTCACAAATTATATCTATATGCTATTTTGTCCTGAAATTTTGTGTTATAAGTACTATTTTCCTAATGCTTTGACATAAAATATTGCGTGTTAATCACGTTTTCATGGCGGAATTTTCTTTTTAGGTCGATAGCTCGCATGAGCCAGAAATTCCCCAAAGCTGACTTTGCAGAAGTTTCCAAGTTGGTGACAGATCTTACCAAAATCCACAAGGAATGCTGCCACGGTGACCTGCTTGAATGTGCAGATGACAGGGTAAAGAATCTGCAGTATGCTCTGTAGTAACTCACATGCTTCAGTTGGTAGGATGAATTTGCTTAGTATTATCCTCGAAGCCGACAGTGGGTTGAGATTGTATTCTATGCCCAATCTGCTCACTTCTTTCCCTGCTTTGTGGTACTTTTTTTTTCTTAACCTGGCTTCCCATTCACTAAATGATCTGACAAACACATTCACTAATTTGTAAACCTTTCAGTCATATTGTGAGAACAAAGGCTTACACTGAAGTAGGATGGCTACTACAAAGGGAGATTTCTAAGAAGACATTTTTGGGAGGTGGGTGGAGTTGGAGAAGGGCTACTACCTGAAGAGATCTTGGGAAATTATGTAGTTCGCCGCCCCCTTTATATTCTCTCTCAGTTAACCATCTGTGTTAACTAGACACATATTTAGCATGATATCACATTTCTCCAAACTTAAAAATATGGCCAAATACCAGCATCTTAATCTCTCAGGATACTTTCTGGAAAATTTAAGGCAAAGATTTTACACGTGTAAGTAGGGCCTGTGACTATGGTCTTGACTAATTATCCAAAGATCGCTCACATTTTATTTAGTTATTTGGTTTCAAAATGCCTGAAGGGACTATTTGGAAAAATAGTACTGAGTTTTAATTTAGAAACTTAAGTGCCTTGACAGTCAAGATATAAAATTAATAATAACCGAGATGGGTCCCTGTTACTGACCATTTTTTGTAATTAAGTGGAAATATTTTAGTAGTTCTGAGTCTCTAGTCTTAGGAACATGGACTGAAAGTATTTATAGAAGTCATGTTTTATGTGTATGGTCTTAGAATATAATAAACATGTTTTGCCAACAGAATAAAGGTCTGGGGAGAAAGTGTAGTGATGCCAATTTACATTGAAAAATTTTTATCAACTCGCTTATAGGCGGATCTGGCCAAGTATATGTGTGAGAATCAGGATTCAATCTCTAGTAAAATGAAGGAATGCTGTGATAAGCCTTTGTTGGAAAAATCCCACTGCCTCACTGAGGTGGAAAGAGATGAGTTGCCCGGTGACCTGTCCCCGATAGCTGCTGACTTTGTTGAAGATAAGGAGGTTTGCAAAAACTATCAGGAGGCAAAAGATGTGTTCCTGGGCACGTAAGTGGATAAAGAATAATCCTTCCATAGCTTTTATATGGCCTCAGGATTCAGGAAGATAAACTAGGCTTTCCTTTGACATTGCTACAATTTCCATGTTGTCTACATGCTGCTTTATCCTTCCCTCTCCTAGCTTTTAAATTTTGGGGGAAAAATTAATTAGTTTAAAAAATTATTATAAACTAATTCATGCTTATGGCAAAAACTCAATCAGTAGAGAAGAGAATAGAGAAGGGAAGAGAAGAAATAAAAGTTTCTATCTTTATTCCTACCCCATTCATTTTCTCCTTAGGGATATTCCTGGAAATACCTCTAGGAACATTTTGTGTGTACATAAATTATAGACATATTATTCCTTCATTTATTCATTCAAAGAATGAATTTACTACAATAGATATGTGTGAATATACATAATACATCTTTACATCTCTGTATTTCTGGATCTATTTACCTGCCATTTATCTATCTATATAAGGAAGTATAAGAGGAAGTATGCAGTCTGCTACCAGGTGCTTTATATTTGGTTGAACAGACCAGGAGTACAGTAGCATGGCAGGGCAGCATGAAATTAAGTGACAAAATAAATGATGATATATAGTCAGTAAGTGTGGTGATAAACTTTGCATTTTTATTTTTGGATTATAATAGTGTAATGTGCCCTAATATATTTTACATAATTGTGTACCCTTCAAGATTTCACTCCTACAAAGAGGTGAAAGAATAATTCAAGAATTCATCTCTATTTATCTATCAGAACCCTTTTGAGGTATAGTCCAAATTATAAAAATATACATACCAATAACAGGTGTCACTCATCAAACATTTAATATGTGCCAGACAGCATGTGCTTTGCATAGATTACATCATGTATTTCCCACAAACCACCTTATGAGATCGGTACTGTTATTATCCACGTGCTACAGAGAAGGCAACTAAGGCTGTGATGGTTTTAATAAGTTGCTTAAGGTGATATAGTAAACTAAGTGGCAGAGGCAGGATTTGAATGCAGGTAGCTTTAATTCTGAACTGCAACCCTTTAGCCACTAATCTTCCCTGCATGGGGTCTAGTCAAATTCAGACCTGTGGGAGATGAGTTACTCTTGGGGTGAGTTATGTGATCTTTCTTGCTCCTTTACCCAGCGAAATCTATTTTATTTTCATCTGAATTAGGTTTTTGTATGAATACTCAAGAAGGCATCCTGAGTACGCTATCTCTTTGCTGTTGAGACTTGCCAAGGAATATGAAGCCACTCTGGAGAAGTGTTGTGCCACCGATGATCCTCCTACTTGCTATGGCAAAGTGGTAGGTTTCTTAAAGGGAAACAGTGTAGCGCTCTGGCGGATGATCCATTTTTTTTTTAAATTTTATTTTATTATGTTATGTTAGTCACCATACAATACATCATTAGTTTTTGATGTTGTGTTCCACGATTCACATTTTGAGTATAACACCCAGTGCTCCATGCAGTACGTGCCCTCTTTAATACCCATCACCAGGCTAACCCATCCCCGCAACTCCCTCCCCTCTAGAACCCTCAGTTTTAATCATGAGAAAGAAAAGTAACCCAAGAATGTGAATTGCTACATAGTGCAATTTAGATCTTTTCTTGACATGGTTTCAATCCTGTGCTCTTAAACCTTACAGGAAAAAATAGCTTTAAATGGAATGGTTAATAAGACCTAGAAGAGTCTAGGAAGGAGAGATCTGAAGGGAGCAATCTCTAATTTCACAAAATCTTGACCATGCTTTTTCTCTTTTTTACACTCCTGAGGACAAAATAATTGATAAATTGAAATGTTAGTTAAGAGACTTAACTTAGATATAAAGTTAACCAGGTTCCAAGATTTATCAAATATCAAGAATTAGCATCTTAAAGAAGATTGTGAAATCTATTCATTTAGAATATTTTCAGATTTCGGGGAAAAAGTGTAGGAATTGCTTTACAAGTCATTAAGGAGAGGAAACCTTGAGGATTTTTGCCATATTTAGCTATGCTTTAAGAGGATTTTAACATGTTTAAGATATTTAGCACTCCTGGCATATGTAGTGGTTTCCAAACTTCAGAATCACAGGAAAGTAATTCTTTCCTCTATCAAGAACCTACTATATGCCAGGCACCAGACTAGAGCCGATGACCAAGATAAAATCTCTTATCTCAGGGAGCTCAGAATCCAACTGGAGAGAGGGCTTAATAATAATGATACAGTCATAGTCATCATTTATTAAGCTTTTATTATCTGCCAGGCACTGTTTTAATTTCATTAGCTCAGGTGGTTTGTAGAACAATTTTTGAGGTGAGTACCATCTTTATGCCCATTTTCTTTCTTTCTTTTTCTTTTTCTCCCTTCTTTTTTGTTAATCTCCATTTTAGTGGTGAGGGTTCTGCAGCTTGGAGATAGGAAGTATATTTACACAATTAGAAAATGAGTCGGATGGCCTGGCTTGAACACCAGCAGTCGCACTCCACAGCCTGAGTAGTCTTAATCTCTTATACTATACACCCTTGCCAAATAAAATAAACAGTTTGGACATATTATGATAGATTTGGCATCAAAGATCTAATTACATGACTTTGGGCAGAAAGGAGGGAGGATCTCATTCTGCTTAGAGTGGTGAAAAAGAACCTGCATGTGGTCCTTGGGTGGAATTCTGTCAACACAATTCTTTTATCTTTCAGCTTGATGAATTTAAACCTCTTGTGGAAGAGCCTCAGAATTTAGTCAAAACAAACTGTGAACTTTTTGAAAAACTTGGAGAGTATGGCTTCCAAAATGCGTAAGTATTTTTGTTTATCAGCTGATTTTTTTTCTTGATCAACTTGTAATTATTTAAGACTTAATATATATACCATCTATGATAGAAATTTTAATCATGAATATACGGTATATACTTCTAATCTCTTTCCATCAAGAAAGACTAGAGAGGGAGAAATAAAATGGTTAGTGGGATGGAGAAGCTTATATTTGAGTGCAGTTTAAAAAGTTGGCCTCTTGAGATCAGGAAGGAAAATAGCAAATCGTGGAATGTAGGAACTGAGGATGCCCTTTGAAGGTTAAGGAATAGCTTGTGGGCAAACAAAATGCAGCAATGCTTTACAAAGGAGGAAGTGGTAGCCTTTGAATAATAGTAGCTCAAGAAGTAATATATAAGCTGAGAGACTAATGTCCTGATCCACATAGAGTCTTATCTATGGAGGTAAAGATAAGAGACACATCAGTCAGTAGATATTTATTGTTTGGTTTAAATATTTTACCACTCTTCTAACTATGGGTGCTAGGGATAACAATAGTGAACCAGATATCATCTTTTCCCTCGAGTAGATTGTAGTCACACATGACTTTCAGTGGTGATTAGAATTCTTAGTATGTGATTATTACATGCTAGATACCATGCCAGGTTGATTGCATACTTTATTTTAATTTAATACTTGCACCATCCCCATGAGTCAGATATACTTTTTCCTGTTTTATAGATGAAAAAACTTACACATACCTTTCAAATTTAGCATGGTGTTGATATATATTAAGACCTCAGTAGGTTTTATGGAAAGAAAGAAGCAATAAATAAATATATTAATGTCACTGAATTGTAATAAGTCACTTTCCTAAGATGATACAGCACAGCTGGAAACAATGATAAGCTTAACTAGTTAGTCAGGACAAGGTCTTCCCCCATACCATTCAACCAACCTGGAGACAAAGGTAATTTTATGGATGGAAAGTCATTTTAGTTAATTTTGCCTAAGTGTTCTCTGCTTGACCTCCTATGTTAGAGAAAGACATGCCTGGCTGAAAACACATGAACTATTTTGTTACAGGCTCTTAGTTCGTTACACCAAGAAAGTACCCCAAGTGTCAACTCCAACTCTCGTGGAGGTCTCAAGAAAACTAGGAAAAGTGGGCACCAGGTGTTGTAAGAAACCTGACTCAGAAAGAATGCCCTGTGCTGAAGACTATGTGAGTCATTTAAGTATAATAAGTGAATAATGATGAATTTTTGCCTTTAGGTAAGGACAAAGCTAACTTTCAGAAACAGGGGTGAATTAACATGTGTGTGCATGCACGTGTGTGTGTGTTTGGTAGAGGCAGCCAGGACTTGGTCACCTATATTATCTTGAATGAGGATTTGTATAAGATCCCCAAAATGATAAATTGACAAAAATTCCATGAGTTTTCAATGTTTCATCCTGCCATTTAAAAAACCTTTCATATTCTTTGGGGTCTTTTAAAAATATGTATCCATATAAGACTGTTTCATTCCCACTCCAATACATATCTCAGGACTCACGTCAAATTATTTCAATCAATTATTTTCTCAAGGGAACTATTATTAAAATGTAGACATAAAGAGAAAATACTTTAAAAAGTCCCTCATTATCTGTAGTTCTAAAGTGAAGCAAATAACTTCCTCAAATCAACCTTGGATTCAATATTGCTAGTTAAAATATAACACGTCTTTTGGTCCTTTGGAAAGTAGGAGTTCATGGAAAACTTTTATTATCCTTATTTTGAATGTCTGGTCTCCCACCTGTCCTTTAGCTGTCCGTGGTCCTGAACCGGTTGTGCGTGTTGCACGAGAAGACCCCAGTGAGTGAGAGAGTCACCAAATGCTGCACAGAATCCTTGGTGAACAGACGACCATGCTTTTCTGCCCTGGAAACTGATGAGGCGTATGTTCCCAAAGAGTTTAACGCTGAAACATTCACCTTCCATGCAGACTTATGCACACTTCCTGAGGCTGAGAAACAAGTCAAGAAACAATCGTGAGTACTATTTCATTATTGTAAGCATTTAGAGTCTTGAGAGTGAGAATTTTAAGTTGAAATGGGTAACTTTTTCTGAAGTAGTGATTATATTCTTTAGAAAATAGTATTTAAGTACTGGTGTTAGTAAGCTGATAAAAATGTCAAGAATAAAATGGATAACTTTTTGTTTTCTTAGCAAAAAACCTCTATAATATAACCTTGCCTACAAATCATTCAGAATAATCTTGTGGATAAAAGCTACAGTGGAATAATGTCTTAACATAAATCCAGTAGAAAAATATGAACGATTAACTGATGCATTTGTGCAAATAGCAAATTAGTTAGTAGAAATCATAGGAGAATTTATTTCTAGGCATGAATGGTTATTTTAAGTTTGTTCTATGGCAACCCAAAGGCAGGGCAAATCCTCAACATATAACTTTTGAGAATGGAACTTGGGTGAAAAACATCTAGAAAAATGAGTTCTGAGGCTCAACACCCTATTGCTGTCACAGGGGCTAGAAATGCATGAAATTTAGCTCCATAAATTTATCATCTCAGAGATTTTAATCATAGCCAGAGACTTGTGAGTAATATTGCAAAAACCCCCTCTCCCTCTAGCACTATTATCTCTGTGAATGTCAATGAAAGAAAACCACCAGCTCCCATAAGTTTGGATAGTTTTATTACCTATGGCCTCCCCAGTATTAACTGAATGGGGTAAATTTCACAGACCAAATATAAAGACTCTCAGGTTAGAAATTTTTTAATGGAGTCCAACAAGATAGTTAAGCTTTTAAGGATCAGTTTTAGCTCTTAAATCACTAAAAGTTCAATTCGATGTTGTATAACTCTTTTTTTTTCTTTTTAATATGGCATAATTTCTAAAATCTGAATAATGTATAAATACAATGACATCCTTTCCAGAGACTTACCAAAAAGAGATCTATTGATTTATTGAGACTTATTGGTACTAGAGATGTTAAGCAATTTACATTGATTATCTCATTTGATTCTTCCACCAACCCTATGAAGGTGACTTTTATTGTCCTCATTATGCAGATGAGAATATTAAAGCTTATAGTGGTAAGCCTGGGCCTCAAGCTCAGAGTCGCCTGGCCAAGATTCATAATCTTCAACAATACTACTACTGCCTTTACCATCTCCACTTTTCTTTTTCCTTTTTTTAAAAAGATTGAAGTGTATTTGACACGCAATGTTAAATTAGTTTCAGGTGTACAACATAGTGGTTTGACAAGTCTATACATTATGCTGTGCTCACCACAAGTTTAGCTGCCATCCGTCACCATACAATATGATTACAGTACCACTGACTATATTCCCTATGCTGTGCCTTTTAATCCTGAGATTTACTCATTCCATTACTTTCTTTATGTAAGTAAACTTTTTTTCTGATTTTTGTTGTTGTTGTTTTGTTTTCATTCAAATGCAGTGCACTTGTTGAGCTGGTGAAACACAAGCCCAAAGCAACTGAGGAACAACTGAAAACTGTTATGGGGGATTTTGGAGCCTTTGTAGAGAAGTGCTGTGCAGCTGAAAACAAAGAGGCCTGCTTTGCTGAGGAGGTACTGGAGTCTCTTCATTGCAATATGGCTAATTTCCTTTCTTGTCGCATTTGATCTGACCAGGGCTTAGGGGTTTATATATCTGAAGGACACTCTGTACATTCCGGACCAGAATCTTATTCCACATACAAAATTATCTGACAAAATTACTTAAATAGCTCTCATTTTTTTTTTAATCTCCTGCTGCACTGGAGTATATTAGTAAATCTTCATAGTATTTGCTCTGTTTCCAAAGTTGTGATGTTTATGAATATAGATAGAAATATTTGTAAGGCTCAAGTCTTTGAGCCAAACATTAATTTATTGAAATATGTTCTTGAAAAATGCTGGTTTGTGATTTGGTTGAATCTGAGTTTGATTTTATAGGTTAATGAAGGAGGTTTATATTTAAATGTCTGAATCATTTATTATTCCCTCTATGACTTGAGGGTAATGTTTTTATTCCTTTGGGAACAATGGGTGTCAGTAAGTTTCCTTGTAGAGATTCTAGTACTAAACTGGAATTAAAGAATGTGATTCATGTAAAATTAGTTTGTAATTACAAATGGCTGTATAAGTATCAACTTTTCATCTTAATAGTAATGCTAATATTTTCCCCAAATCTGTCATTTCTTGGTATTCAGGGTCCAAAACTTGTTGCCACAGCTCAAGCTGCCTTAGCCTAAAAGAACACCATCACAAGCATCTCAGGTAACTATACTTTGGATTTTTGTTTTAAAAAAGTAATTATAATAGTTACTATTAAAATAGCAAAGGTTGACCAATCATTTACCAAGAGCCATATAGACCAGTGCCAATCACTGTTCTAAGATCTTTATATGTATTAACTTACTTAATTCTCAAAATAGTTGCCTAAGTTGAGTGTCATTATTTTTCCCATTTTTCAGATGAGAACATGAAGGCACAGATAGACATGGGTTCCATAATTTACCCAAGGACCACCCAGCTCGTGAGGGGTGAAGCCACAATTCAAAATTCAAACCAAAGCTTGAGAGTTAACCAGTGTCCTGTTCTGACCTAATGTGACACAGTAGACAGAATCATTCAACTGAGCAATGGCTTAGCAGTGGGGTTTCTAGGTATTAGGCTGGGCCATATGAAAGTGCATTTTTTAAGGTAAAAAACAGTTGAATAGCAACGATTTCACATGGTTCAATCCAACAGCCCAGTACCAGATTAATTTCATTGGAGAGTATGACAGATCTACCTTATGTGAACTTGCACTTTATAGTGAATAACTTGCTACTGAGGCCCACTTTAAAATTTAAATGTTTGAACATAAACATGTTTCACCCATTTTGGTTGTAATATTTTGTGGGAAATTAAAAAAGATAGTATCAACTCTCTTTTTTAAAACAAATTGTCCGACTATTTTCTAGCATGAATTATTTTCATATTTTCCAAACTCTGAGGTCTGTTCCCACTATGGAGTTTTCACTTACTCTTTGCCCACCTGAGAATACCTACATATTGTGCATTCAAGTGAGGAAGCAACTTCATATCTCCTGTAAATTTGATCTCTTCAAAATGTGATTTGTTCTCATCCTAAATGGCAAGATTTTCTTCTGAAAGGTCTTTGAGAGACACTTGTTTTATTGGTAATTAATTTAGGTAAGAAGTAGGTGTTAAGCAAGTGACTCTGAGGAGTGATGATGAAAAGCTTGGGACTTTGAAACCTGAGGAGCTGATGACATCAGTGACAAAGAGAGGACTTTACAATATTATTGGTGTGTCCTCTCCCCCAGCCCAACAGAAGAATTCAGAGTCCAGGACAGGCTGAATGATTTTCTTTGGTGGAAATTGCAGGAAGACAATCTAAGCAATTCAACATTCATTTGAATAGATTTCAAAAACTCATAGCATTTTACAAACAGTACTTATATTTGTCTTTTTGTCTTTCAGCCTGCCCTGAGAATAAGAGAAAGAAAGAGAAATGAAGACCTAGAGCTTATTCATCTGTTTTTCTTTTCTGTTGGTGTAAAACCAACCCTCTGTCTAAAGAACACAAATTTCTTTAAATGTTTTGCCTCTTTTCTCTGTGCTGTAATTAATAAAAAATGAAAAGAATCTAACATTATTGTCCAGGACTGTTATTTTTCACAGATGTATTGCCATCCTGGAAATTTTGTAGGTTTTGTGAATGTCCCACTGCTCTCTCTTTTCCCACTTCAGTCTAGTTCTTTAGGGGCTGGCTGATTAAAAGAAACATTAATGATCTTCTGAGTTATGGATCATAAACATGCAAAGGAATATTTTAACATTATCATAATTCTGATAAAAGAATGAAAACTGGTATAGGCTTTTCCTTACTAAGGACTAAGAAATGTGAGGGACAAAGAAGATAGAGATGATTGTAAGGATGGTTAATTGAACTGGAAAAAAAACACTGAGCCTCAAAAAAATGTAAGGAAGTTTAGGATGGCAATACATAAACAGTGTAAGAAGCTTAACCAGGTTGGAGAAGCCTTGTTGAAGGAGGGAATCAGGAGATCTGGATGAAGGTACAATAGAGAGTGAGCAAGATGTAGAAGACTGAGGGAGCTCAAGAGTTGGCACGTAAAATGTTCTTGTAAGAACTGAGATGTTACACTCAAAACTGAGCCTCTTGTCCCTGTTCCCAGAGGTAACCACTGATATCAGACAATTATCTATGAATTTACATACCTAAAGTCATTTATAGCCTTATTAATTTGTGTACTTTAGAAATTTTTATAAAATTGGTTTCATATGTACCTGCCATTGACAACCTGCTTATTTTGCCCTAATAATGATGCTTTATAGTTTCATTTTAAGTATGATGCTTACAAAAGGTTTTGGTACCAAGTTAAAAAAGTCTCCTTCCATTTTTGGAATGTTGCATCCCCCAGCCCCCCAACTCCCTAACCCTACCCATTCCCACCCGCCACCCATTTTAACCTCACTGCTGACTATATCAGATACTTTTCCACATTGGATGCAATCATCACAAAGGTGGGAGGAGCCCGGAAGGGGAGAAGTGGAGATGGTAGGCACTTCGTCAAAGACCCTGGAGACAGATCTAGAAAATTTTGAGTAAGATGTTTTCACAGAACTGGACCCACACAGGACCAGGTCTGGGTGCCCTGTCTGGATGGCATTGTCACTCAGCCAGCGAAGGGGGACTTAAAACTTTTGGAGAAAGATGCTCCAAAACATAGAACTCTCAGAGTTCAGCTTCCCTGCTTCCTGAGGGGTCAGATTCCCCTGGGGAGCTCAGACATTTGAGTCTGAGTGGTCTAGGAGCCCAAGGCCTGCTCTACATCTGACAGGGCAGCCTGGCAAGCACATTATTCTGGCTGGGTGGCTGTTGCAGTATGCCTTTGCTTCACAGTGCAGGAATTGGGGCCACCAGAATGGTGCAGACACACTAATGTGTGAGAGTGTGTGTGTGTGTGTGTGTGTGAGAAATGCTCTTCTCTTCCTTTCATATGAAGGAGCACATGATATTCATATGATTTATCACCAGGGATGTTAGGATTGAGCACATGGTTAAGGTAGTGTTTGCCAGGTTTTTCTACTCTAAAGTTACTATTTTTCCCTTTCCATACTCTATTTTTGGAAGGCAGTCACTAAATCTAGCCTACACTCAAACTGAGGGAGGGAGAGGATGAAGTTCCTCGAAGGAGGAGTGTTGACATATATTATTTAGAATCCTTCTGTAGGAAAGATTTGTCACTTCACTCCATTTATTTATTTATTCACTGTATATTAGTATGAATTCATGTATATTTACTTTGTACTTTGGGTTATAATTCAATGCTACATAATGTATTTTTTTGCTCAAATTATTTCAGCTTTGGCCTTTGTGAGTGCTTTTAGTTTGGCTTCTGTGTCCCTCTGACTGGCCCCCCATATTTTGTTTCTTGAGTACTTCTTTACTTTCTGGCACTTTGAGATGATCCAAGTTCATCTTGTTATTTTCCCTTCCCCAGACCTGGAAACAGCCATTTCTTCAAGTTCTGGTTCTATCGACTAGATAATGGTGTTTAAACAATAATCTGAGCGCTGGTTGTACTTGTTAATGAGGTCTCACCACTTCTAGACTCTTTCAGGGAAGAGAGCTAAGAAATGTGGGTTTGTGTACTAACCCATGTACACACACATACCTGTAATTATTCTGTATCTATTTATCTATCTATCTTTCTATCATCTATCTATCATCTATCATCATTTATCTCTCTACATAAGAGTTCATACTGATGTCTCTGACTATTCCCAGAACCACAAAGTTCATCCAAACCTTCCTTCCTTTCTTTTTTTTTTTAAGATTTTATTTATTTATTTGACAGAGAGAGACACAGAGAGAGAGGGAACACAAGCAGGGGGAGTGGGAGAGGGAGAAGCAGGCTTCCCGCTGCCGAGCAGGGAGCCCGATGCGGGGCTCGATCCCAGGACTGGGATCATGACCTGAGCCGAAAGCAGACACTTAACGACTGAGTCACCCAGGCATCCCTCAAGCCTTCCTTTCTTGCATATTTATTACTTCCCTTTTTGATAGTGAGAAACTTGGCTCCCATTACCTACCATGCATGTACTTATTTGTTCAACCCCAGATACAAAATTATTGACCCATACCTCCATATAAAACAATTTACCAACTAGAGTACAGTGTCTATATGCCTTATAATTTCCAGTCAAAACCTTATTTTTCAAAGTTACTTTATTCCATTTTTCTCCTACCTTCTTCAGTGAGGTTGTGACTGGTGAGTTTTGGGTGACTCACTCACTCACATTGGACACAAGACGAATATAGGGCCTGGGAGGTTGACTGACTTTTGGCTTGAGCTGCATGCATGGGCTTACCTAGCAGATTTTTCCTGTATGTGTTCCAATAGGATAGCCTCTGTCTACTATATGCAAAGGTGGTAGGTGGTGACAGGAGTCCTTTATGTACTCCCTTCCCCTGGCACCCAGGATGGTCACTCCAGTCCCTCCACAAACTCCACATCAAGTGTCATGTAGTCTTCAGGAGTGGACATATCTATTTCTTCCAAGGGCTTTGGAGACAATTGCTCTGCAATGCCACTGGGCCTTTACAGTTGATGTCCTCTCTTGCCTCTGTCAGTTTGGTTATATCATGCTCCCCTGCCAAATATCTTTTTTTTTTTTTAAGATTTTATTGATTTATTTGACAGAGACACAGCGAGAGAGGGAACACAAGCAGTGGGAGTGGGAGAGGGAGAAGCAGGCTTCCTGCTGAGCAGAGAGAGCCCGATGTGGGACTCGATCCCAGGACCCTGGGATCATGACCTGAGCCGAAGGCAGATGCTTAACGACTGAGCCACCCAGGCGCCCCCCCTGCCAAATATCTTAAACTCTGCCAAATATCCCTTATAGGAATGGAATCACTCTTCTTGCTTCACCACAGGGCCCTCACCTATCATCCCTGTTGGTGGCTGTGTGTGGAAACCAGGAGTGCAGTTAACATTGAAAGAGATTGCATTCCTAGAAATGCAGTGATTATGATCTAAGAGTTCAGTAGAAAATATGGGTGGAAGATGTGCTGATCTATGTTTATGCTAAGAAAGTCATAATGATAAATTTAAGGTGACCAGAGACTTGCATTTGTGGTTATCATCAATGAAGCACAATGATAACATTCAAGGGAATCACTGGAAGCCAGAATTCATGGTGACATGATGAATGATGCATCATTGTGAATAATGATGTAACCAATACTGCATTAAATAGACGATAGTTGAGAACTACAGAGGCAAGGAAGGAGATTTATTTGTTTCAATACAAATAGGCTCCAAAGGGCCATCACATCATGAATAGTAACAGCATTGCCACCTTTTTCTTGAGATGGCAGATAGAAAATTAGCCAGGAATGAGATGCATTTGAATAAAGAAGATATACCAACAAAAAGATGGTATCTGGACCTGAACAGGAAGATATGCTCTCTGGACATTAGGAAGAATCTTCTTGTGCACTGACTGGACAATAAACAAGCATGTAAGTATCACTTCTCTCTCTATTCACTATTTTACATCTTAATAAATTAATATAATCACATGGGCTCAGTGTGATGAGCACTGTTTTATACCGGATGTGTGGGCTATGTGGACATTACACATGGAATCACACAGTTTCCACCCTTGCTTCTCACCTGACGACTTTCTTTGCTCCTCTTCAGGCACCTTATAAAGTGATTATCGTCCCCATCTCTTTTTTCACCTTCCCTTCAAGATTCTAAGCAGTTTGAACTTCATGCTATTCCTTAACACACCATGCTTTTTTATGGATGCTTTCTCCTTCTACCTGAGATGTCTTTCTCTCTCTACTTTATCTGCTTAATTAAACTCAAAGGTCACCTTCTTTGAGGAAATTTCCCTGCATTAGGTTAGCCACTTCCTTCCCTGATGCCCCTTCACTTTTTGAACTTGAATTATTATAGCATTCACACTTTATTATAATTATGGTAGATTTTATATTTATTTTTAAAATTTTTAATAATATCTTTTATTTAACACAGTATACTACTTTAAACATGTAAAATCTGAGACCTAGACTTGGAATTTGAACACACATGGTGCTGACTCTTGAGAGCAAGCCCATTTAATGGTATCAGTTCACTTCTATATCTCTCTTCAACTAGATAGTGTTTCTCACCAGAAGGGACATGAATTGGAAGTTCATGTGTCTCTCTTGGCACTTAACATAACCTGGTACATAATGCATATTCAATAAAAATTAGAGAAATAAACTGATTTATGCTAAGGGCTATAAATATTCTAAACTACAAATTATGGAATCTGGGTTACAATAATTTCTCGAACTTCCAAAACAGTAGATATAGTAAAATGAATTTTATGCGAATTTGAATCATGCAAGTTTGTGCTTTAAGATAAGAATAATGATACATTTTACTTAAAAATGTGAAATAAGGGGCACCTGGATGGCTCAGTTGGTTAAGCAGCTGCCTTCAGCTCAGGTCATGATCCCAGGGTCCTGGGATCGAGCCCCGCATCAGGCTCCCTGCTCAGCGGGAGCCTGCTTCTCCCTCTCCCTCTGCCTGCCGCTCTGCCTATTTGTGCTCTCTCTCTGTCTGTCTCTCTGTCAAATAAATAAAATCTTTAAAAAAATGTGAAATAATGAAGATTACCCCAAATTATGATACCTCAAGAACTGAAAGTCCTAGTAATGTCCCATATGATGGTGTCAGTTTTGCATCAGCTCAATTGATCTAAAATTATCCAAGTTATCTCTCAGGTGAGTAACTGACAGGTAAGTACATGAATACTTGTATGACACCAAAGAAAGTGCTTTAGCATTTTGAGATATGTCTTTTGGGAAAGGTAGAATATTTTTTCTGACTAATAAATTTGTTTTTGTTTATAAAATGTTACATATGATGGTTGACCTATAGATAGATGTATTTTGTCCACTTAGTTCATGTGAACCTCGTGTAATTTCTTTAGCACTGGACTATTAGCAGTTACGAGGACAACATCTGAAAAGTACCTCATGCAAATGAACAGATTCTTTTTCCATATTTACTTTTTGTCTCCACTCAGGTCTTAGTTCTGTATGTTGCATATTTCTTCCTTTATTCACTTAGTCAATTGATACCTGCACCCTAAGGGCTGGTTCCTTAAAGAGCTGGTCTTAAGAAACTCAAGGGAGGAATTGAATTAAAGACAGTGCCACTGGA